GGCTGCCCCTCCAGCTGCCCGGTCGCCATGGAGACGGGAGGAGCGGTTGGAGCGGTTGAGCGGCGCGGGGCGGCCCGGGTCCCAGGTGAACTCCTCCGGCCTAGATGCGCTGCTGGGTGCGGTAGGTTCCGCACTGCGGCGGGCAGCGGCCGGGCAGGGGGGGTCGCGGTGAGCCTCCCAGACTCACTGAAGCAGGGCGCATGCGCTCGCGGGCGCCCCCGATCCAGGCCTGCTCCCCTGTGGCTGTAGGGGGCGGGGATTGGGGTCCTCGCGGCTTCTCCATTATCTCGTTGAGGGGCAAGGGGGAGGGTTGCTACAGGTTACATAGAGTGCGCCTCTGCGCGGAGAACTAGGGTAGTTCACACGTGCGAAGTCTTTTTCACGGGATAAAAGGGACCCCGCTAGCTCCAAAGCTCGTGCTTGAAAGTGTAGAGCTGCTGTGGTTGTGGGGGGTTTCTGTCCAGGTCTGGTTTGATGAGCATCAGGGTCGGCAGGCAGCTCATTCTTGCCGTGAGCCTGAGGGCTGGGACTGCAGAGTCCTACAGCAAGGCCTCACAGACCCTGTTTTTCAGACACCCAAAACCTTTCCTGGATGATACTGAGACTGGCAGTTCACCGTCTAAAGGCAGGCACACATTATAGACAAGGTAAAACAGATGCATAAGCCTTTGTGAGGTCAGGCTTCAAAAACCCATCAGCATCTATGATTCTATCTCCAAGGTGCATCTCTACCCAGTTTCCTGTCCGAATGATCCCATAACTCCCACTGATATGTTAAAAGTCCTGTCTGAATGATATTGCACATAATTGTTCATTGTGCCACAGGCTCGGAAGTCTGCTCACACTGAACGTGTCGGAGCATTAAGCCTGCTGCAGCGCTCCAACCAGGATGCTCCAGGGTGCTGCAGTGTCTCATGCAGTGCCATAGCAGGGGGGACAACAAGTGGGGCAACTGCTCCAGGCAGTGAAGCAAAGGGGCACCAACAGGCACTGCCCAGCCGGGGCAGGGTACGGGACGGAGCTGCGAGTGGCTCATTTTGGGGGTGGTGGGGGGGATGGGGGAAGGGCAGCTCTTGCTGCTGCATGCACCCCGGGCAAGCATGGGGGGGGGTGTACCCCATGAATCTGTGTGGGGCGAGGATTGGCTGCCGCTGCAGGCTTTGCCCCAGGCACCAAACTTAATTGCTACGGCTGTGGTGGGAGAAAACTCCCTAGAGTTTGTTATCTAGCTGCAATAGGGACCAGACAACGCGGGTAAAGAATTGACAGCCGTTTATTTGCTCGAGCAAAGACCATAACGCCAGCAAAAGGCAAAATGGCCCCCCCTAAAGGGTGGGGCGATCTTTTATACTTTATACAATAAGGCAAGACTACAGGGTTAACAAAGCAATACTTGGGCGGTGCTTTACAAATCTTCATAACAGCATATTTCTATTAAGCTGAACTAGTACTTTTTTAAAAGCTAAAAGTTAAGTAACAGTAACATTATGATA